CAGGGGTGGCTCCATTTGTCATGATGCGCAACAGAGAGTCTTCTTCTTGTTATTTTTCATTTCGTGGCAGGCGAATTTTGGTGCTCCGTGTTCCCATCGAGGATGGACAAGTGAATTCGTGTCCGAGGGGGTTTGCAAAGGGTTGTACCATCACCACGTCTTGTCCCTGTGCAGTAAAAGGAGATGCTATTCGTAGAGTAAGCTCAGGCCAATCGCACGTCACCCAAGTTTTCTCAATGCGTTTAATGGGCAATAAACCTCTTCAGACCATCACCTTAGGCTTGAAATTTACACGCCGACGATACTAAAGATGCGAGAACGCAAAGTACCTGTACAATAATTAAACTCGTAAGTTTTTGCACTCCTTGGGCGAGAGGTACATCAGAGTGAGAGTCGAGGTGATTGAAAACACGTCCGCTGGACCACTCTATGAATGTCGTTACAAGTACGACGCGTAATCATCATGCGCAGGGGAGAAAATGACGAAGGGAACGCGTATAGCAGTAGCCGACGCTGCTGCCGTTTATATATGCGTCTCAATACGCGCGTGTGTCGTAAACATAAACATTTATTGCGGTCCCCCGCGTGTAATGAAATGTATATTTTACAAGCGGCCTCCCGTACGGGGAAAGAAAGAAGAGACCATTGTACACTTTCTCACATGACGGGTACGGGTCCGTGCGATACGTATCGTCTTATTTGTGCACGACTTTTTTTTTCCCCCTCTTTTTTTAACTGTACCATCATAGTCTTTCTACTAGCTGCTCGCGTACTTTTGCCTTTTACGATACTGCTAATTTGATTAAGGAAGAATGCTGTTATGTATTCGTGTATACGTGTACGTAGGCTCGAAAGAGTCGTGTGACGTGTGATGTCTTTGCGGGGCTCCGCGCCACGCACACGGTATCATTGTATACCTATATATGTAGACCCTTTGAGGGGCTCGACACCACGCGCTGCGGGCATTCCGATGCCAAGTAGCATGATTCCTTCGATGAATTTCCAAGCTAGCCTCGAAAAACCTTTGCTTTTTCTTCTCCCTGCAAGAACTTCCACGTGTTAGTCGCGCGTGCTAAATGGCACGATTTTGAATGTACGTCGTTATGGCCAATCTTTCTTTTTGTTTTGGCACACGTGTTATTTTCACCAAGTAATCAGGCAAATGAAACAAAGTACGAAATTGCAGCTCTTCAAAACTAAGTTTAAATACATAATTGCAATTGCTGTTAAACAGCTATAAGTACTTACTTGCACCCGAGTACGTCCATAAAATGCGGGGACGTGAGTTTCAACTTTACATGTATTTCTTTTGGTTTTTCCCTTCCTTGAACTTGTCTGTGAGAATTATCGTATACGAGATTTCGAGTACACAGGACTAATTGCCTGAATCATCATTCAGGAGTTGATAATACCGAAAAACAAACACGCGCTCCCAGCAGGGAAATGTCTAACGCTCGCCTCGCAGGTGCTAATTGAACTGTACAAACCATGAGAGCACCCAACTGTGCCTTTTAGAGATTTTTTTTTTTTTTTCTTTTTTCCAAAATACACGCACAATTAGATTTATGATTTGTCGTGCGAGCCAAGTAAAATATGAAAATTAATGCGCCGAACAAACGCCCACGCGCGCGCTCGACGCCTGACGCGTGCCAACAGTTAGCATCTGTAACAACGCACGCTAAAAATGTTCTCAAACACAATACTCAAACAAGCTACGAAGATAATGATTAAAATCCATGGGTCATACTTTTTTTTTCAATCGACTACATGTAGTGCCAATCGATTGTGCCACCTCATAAAAATGCATACCTCACTCTCTGCGAACGCGTAATTTTCTGCGCGTCCAAGCACGTGAGAAAAAGACGAGGTACGAATAAAAAAAAATAAAAAATAAAAATGGCCGCGGAGATCCTTTGGTCACCCCAAATGAGCCGCGAGATGAGGCTCAATTTGCATCTCCGTGAAATTCACCCTCGACTCTGTATCGCAATATCATAGTCCTTCGATCGATAGTAATGACGAGGAGAGAAAGAGAGGCCCTCGCGATCATTTGGTGTGATCGTAAAGACCCCGCGCCGGGAGTGTGTATGCACGTGTACGTACGGCCACAAACAAAAAAAAAAGGACGCGTCCGTGTACGTATATTATAAGAAATAGAAATCGAAAGAGGGAATCTTTCCGAGGGAATAATGTACAAAGGGCGAGGGGGGGGAAATAATCGAGGAAGAGGAAGAAGAAAGTGATAATACGCGAGGGGGAACCTGTTTTTCGACGAGATCAAACCTGTTATTGCGCATTGAATGGATTCCCTTCTTTATGAGCCCTTGTCCGGCACTGCGTGTGAGTGTGTACGTGTGCGGAGGAGGAGTAGAGCGAAAAAGAGGAACACGCCGAGAGTCTACATACACATACATATGCGTAAAAGGTACTATGTGTACGTATAGGGACGAAAAATACCGTCGATTCGATTGGAATGCAAAATCACATCGCGCCGCGAGAGAGAAGGATCCCTGAATATTGCATGAGATTTAAAATAATTCGCGAGGGTATGCATAATCTCGACGAGGGTTTCCTCGTTGGCGCGCTTGTTTGGACAGTTTTGTACCGATGAGCGTGTGATTGTTCTTATTATTGTTTTTTTCTTTTTTCTTTCCAATCGCATCGGGATGAAAATTTCTTCTGGATTTTGTACGGATCGCACACAAGTTGCCCAAGGAAATCCATACCACGTATACTTACTCGGTGCGCACGTTTCACTTCCCCGTTTCTCATTCCCGCAAGTATACACCGGTAGCCCGGGAACCTTCATCGCGATAGAAAATTCTCCCCGAGTTCTCCCGGCGAGCGCTGACCAACTCTCGGGGGTACCTTTGTATAAAAAAAAGGAGGGAGGGAAAAAAAGAAGCGACGCATCTCTCGCGCCGATGACTGCATGGCAAACTTTTTGCCCCAGCGACGCTTTGAACTCGAGTTTGAGTTTGTCCCGACCATCGGGTGCGTCGGCATTTTTCCACGGACGACCGGAGCGAGTTTTTACGCCACTGCTCAGCAGCGAGTGTAAAACGCGTATACTCTCGATAAATTGATCGTTAAGATTATGCTCGATGGCACGTGGGGTAATTGGTAAATTAGCCGCGAGATATGGGCATTGTCGCCGATGAAGACAAACGTACATTTTCGGGCTCTACCGATCTCTTGCCGATTTTCAGACGACCGGGTCTTTGGTGCTCGCTGACGACTGCCGGGGCTCTTAAATTATTCATCGGCAATCAGTGCACGCGGCCATTTAGAGCGGGTAATTGAGAAATCGGCAACGCAGCCGTCCCAACTATACGGGCCCCCTCAAAAACGAGATCCGTACTAACGAGAGTGTAATTGCCCCGCGAGCCGAGTTTCCATCTTTGGCGCAGCTCCTTCCCTGTACAAACCTACACGTTCGATTGATCCCACGACGCACGAACGAGTTTCTTCCACTCGATCGCGCGCGTAACGCGTACTTCTCACATCCCCAAAGGAGTTGCGTGCGGCTTTTTTGCCGACGATGCACACGCTGTGATGGCACTAGTACGACTAGTGTAGCCACCATTTTTGCCAATCGAGCCAATATCCTTGTATATACATGTATCTGTACTCTGGAAAAGAAGAGCGCTGTCCCGGGGCGTCGGGAAAATACACGTGCGAGCACGTATGGAGCTTTGATGTACAGAGCGGGAAATTAATCTTAGGCTTGGATTAATTTATCCGGGACGCGGGATGACCGGTAATATGGACAAAGTGCACTACTCCGTTTGCTCTCTGTATTCACCCGGAGACGGATGGTCGTCTAAACGAGCGCTCGGGGAGACGTCTTGATGTAGGTATAAGGGAGATCGGTTTTCGAGCCGATGTTCGAAAATCTTGTAGATTCATCCGTAATCTTTGCGGCTCGAAAGACTCCGCGTATGTCCCTAGGGTGCACGAGGAAAAAAGCACGGCACGAAGCTACACACCGGCTTTGCGATTTTTTTTCTTTCCGTTCCCCCTCCGATCGGTACAAAGAGGAGCAGTGCTCTCCGCGTACACTTGCGCTTGCAACATCGCTTGGCTCTCTCTCTCTCTCTCTCTCTTTTTCCCTTTCTTTGGGCTTACACGCTTTTACGGGCAAGCTTCGAATAAAGTGTATCCTCGACGGCGATAAACAAAGCCTGGACATTGCTGCTCTTTCTACAGGGCGCGCATTAAATTTTCCGTAAGTCGCGTCCGAGACGCAGAGGGTGCATTCCTTAGGGTTACACACACTCCTTGATCGTTATTGTTGTGTTTTCGTCGAAATTTCGTGCATAGGATGTAATATTCTTGTAAGTGTTTGTATTAATATGTACCCCCTCCGAGCATAGTATTATTAAGTAGGGGTAAGAATTGTCAACCACTGACGATATTTACGAGCTCTGGCGTGCCTTCGTGAGATCATAGGGCCTTTCTTGATAACTCTACTATGTATCACGCATTTGACTTTTACCCCTTGAGAATTGGTCATTTGTGATCGCCCGAGTAAAATTCACGGAAAGTACAGTGGAAGTGGGTATTTAGGTCACGTAGCTCTGTAAATGTGCTCTGAAAGTATTTTCATACGGAGATACAAATAATGAGTTACGTATCTGTAAAAAATATGTGAAAAATATTTAATTGATAGCTCTACTCGATCAGACCCAACTCTTTGGAGTTGGAATCAATGTTCAATGTAATATCCTTGAATTTTCATTAATTTAACTTTGTAAAGACAAGTGTTTAAATGAAGGTACAAGTCCAACATACAATAGATAACATAAAGGGAGTTGATTAAATTGAAAAAAAGAAAAAAAAATTGAATCAAATGGCAAATAGCATCTGAATGACATTTTAGAACGATCAAACCACAACTTGCCACCCAAATCTCAGAAAGTGTCTCAACATAATATAACAGCATAAATCATGAAATGGAAAAAAAAGAAAAAAACTAATTTTCGTCTTCTTCCTTCCAGCTGCACATCTCACTACGTGAGCGAGTACTGCCAGCATCGCAATCCTTGCCTAACAGGACCGCGATGCCAAAACGGTGGCTCTTGCCACGTGCGCGAGGGCATCGGCGGTGGTACCCCGTCATTCGTCTGCTCCTGTCCCGTTGGCTACACGGCCAGCCTCTGCGAGATCAGGATCGACAACGCCTGCGACTCGTCGCCCTGCTCCAACAACGGCACGTGCGTCCTCAAGTCGCTCTACGATTACACCTGCTCCTGTGCCCACGGTTACGCCGGTAAGTTGATGTTTTTTTTCCACGTTGCACGTGACATATGACACATAATGATACAACAATCATGTGCAACGAACCGCACATGTGTACACCTATGCACGGATCGGTCTTGAATTTCATTTGGGATCCACGTTGCGTACCACGCGAGCTCCGAATTTCCCACACCACACACGAAAGCTCTCCTCGATTCTCGAGTGTCTACTCGTATATACATATATCTGTATATACGTAAGAAAGAGAAAGACATACAGACAGACAGATACTTAGAGAAAGAGCTGGCCCGACTAGGAAAAGATTCGCGAGGCAACAACGGCAGCTCGTAGCTTTAAGTACCGCGCGCGTGCGATTCATTAGTTCAACGAGCATAGAATATACGAGACCCGCGGGAGCAACTGTGGTCTATCTGTCTCTGTCTGTCCCTCTTTCTCGCGCCAAGTTCGAATACGCCAACCTCACCCGTATACCCTTCGTTGTTCGGAACTTGTTGCTCAAAACCTCTCCATTTGAGTGTAAGCTCAACATGGCGCAACCCTTTTCTCTCTCTCTCTCTCTTATTATTATTTTTTGTTTCTTCCACGGATTTCTCGGTGGAGGAAAAATTGCGGATTACGTGGACAATAAATCGTCGAGCGATTATTGTTGTATTTTGGCTTTGAAGGTGGTTCGTGAGCTGGTTACGGTAATTGACGGCTGAGTAATTGTACGCTTGAGATATATGTAACGGGACAATTATTTATGAACCCATGGCTGTATACGTGTACCGATGAAAATCGATTGATATTATGGATCCAAGTCAATTTACTGCTGGTTTTTTTTTGTCAAAGTTCATTTTTTCCCGAAATAATTGACTTGTTTTATTATCTACGCAGTTTATTTGACTTCATCAAACGTAGGTAAAGTAGATTTTTTAACACTCACGCGTTTTTACTGCATATACACGTATAAATATAGGCACAAATTTCATGAAAAGAAAGGGTTTTTTTTTTTCAAAGTTAATTTTAGCTTCAAGGTAGAAAATAACACTTTCAAAACAAAGGATACCAATTTAATGTTACATTCACTCGAGAAGTAAATTAAATGGATGTGACGTATACACATAGGCACGATGTGACTCTTCATACCTCTTCCAGCCAATCCAACCAATGATTTATCCAGGGTTTAACGCACACAGTCTTTTTTTTCATCGGATATTGCTATAATATTTGACAAAGAGCAGTGAGTGTTGCAGCAGTGATGGTCATACAGCGGGGGCTGTTGATAATATTTTAAATTGTTAATTGTCCTTAAACTTGAAAAGCTGATTCTTTATTTTCTTCGGAATGTTCGGTATAAAGCTAACGATCGCTTATTATTAACTTATATTGATTTGGTTTTACCAAATGTATGCTTGTTAACTTCCACCTTACTAGAGGTTCACGATACTTGTAAAATAATAAAAAAAAAAAAAAAAAAAAAAAAAATAATAATAATAATTTGTAAGTGTATTTTTTTTTTAACTGTTAACGAATGTGACCGTAAATGCTAGCAACTGTTTGATCAATAACAATTAATAGGTTAATAGCTTGATATTGTAAATTCAATATTAACCAGTAATTAACTGCGCACGCAACTAAATGTATTGCCACTTCGTTTTTAGTATTAGTTTTTAACACAATGAAACCTCAATGAACTGATAAATGTTTTACTATAGCCAATGAACAGCTGTGATTGCAACATATCGTTATTTGTTACCAACAGTACGGATTAAAAATAAGCTACAGGCGTATCTACAGTACTCGGTCTACCTCATATTAAAATGTTGATAAAAAATGATGACGAAAATACAATTTAGTGGCTTTGAATCTATGAGTTTATCTATGTATTTTTTTTTTTTTTTTTTTTTTTTTTTTTAATATTTCGAAATTTCTTGACAGACGAAAAATTTGACTCATGTTTTTTTTGTTGTTGATGATGGTACACGACGACATCCAAGACTCTGACCAACAAAAAAAAAGCTCTGGTTTAAATCTTAATTCAATGGAAGTAATAAAAGGATATAGGAGGAGCCATTTTACTTATAATGACTTGTTGAACAAATAACAATGCATGAAAAAGTTTGCGACTACTGAGTCAAACTGAGCTGCTCCCAAGTCAGCACCGTTGTACGAACCTCCATGTCCACTTTCAATTTTCACTTTTACGGTAGGAAAAGTCGGAATCTTCCATATATGCGCAGTAAGCTAAATTTTTTAAATACATTATCAGTGTTTCTTTAGTGATTTTTACACATTAGTACACACGTATTATGATAAGTGTACGTTGATCGGTGCAAGTATATTACAGCTATTAGTCTCTAAGCCACGTTGCAGGGAAAAAATTGTTACTGATTCACATAAAGGTAAGTTTTTTTTTATATGAATAAAATTACTTTTGTACTTTTTTTTTATTCTTAACGTAAAAAAAAACTGAAGAAAATTTACACAACAACTATCAACTCGAAAATTGTACACACGCAAATTGACTGCAATGGTACTGATTGAACTTAAGCCAACATGGCATAAATGATTATACTTAACTTGTGTAAGAGATGGACCAATTTTTCTACTTATTTGTGATAAGAGTGAAAGTAGTTTGATCATTCTAACAGAGTTAGGTATGGTTTGAGGTAGTCATGATGTTATATTAGCTTACGTGCAATCAGAGCCATTGCAGTCAAATTTCGTGTGGAGAGTCCTTATGTGCGTAGGGTAAATTTTACAAAAAGGTACGTTGGACAATGTCCTACATGCACCACGGGAGTAAATTAGGCTATTATGTATTCTAAGAGACTAAGTATCCGAGACACGTACAAAGCCTACTTTGCTCCATAGGTGCATGATAAGCATGTCCACGAGACAATTTCTAAAATGTAGAAAAAAACCCTCATATGTTTACAGTACGTTTATAAACAAAAATTAGTCTCTTTCTTACAAGTTTTTAGTTCAAACATGTATGTCTTTTAAACGAGTTTTAACAAATTAAAGATTAGATGATAATGATTGACTTTTTCCATAAAACACAACCACACTCGAACTTTCTTTGAGACGTAGTAAAATAACCTTAAATCTTTAAAGTGCATTGCACAATAGTCACGATTTTGGTAACTAAAATAAATTCAATAAACTAAGCTGTACGTGTCAGTATAGTTAAATCAACGTAAGTGGATTTGATAAAATCTAGATTCTACATCGAAATTAATTTTTTTTCAAATAGAATGATAAAGAAGAATGATATTTTTTAGTTTGGGATCAAAATTGAGACTAAAATGTGAATCTACTTGAAAACGACTATTTTTTATTACTCTGTAACTTTTTTTTACACGTTTCTATCATTCCATGTGTGAAACTTACCAACACCGTTGGGTGTAATTGAAATAAATCAAATGATATTTTTAAGTATTAAAAAAGTATTGAACAATCTTGTTAAGGCTTTCAAACTAGTCGAAAAACAATTACTTTTAATGAGTCCACAATTTTTTTTCCAACTTTTGATCATCAAATATATTAGTTAGAATGCATGTTTGCTTGTTATCATAAAAGAAATAAATAACTTTTAAGCTATGAGGATTTTATTTCAACTTTTTGAAAAGTCTCGTGCAGGTGCATAGTGCATAATATCCTATCTACGTTTTTGTAACATATAAAAAATTTTTTAAATCAATTTTGTATTTAAGTTACAGTAGCACTTCCAGCTTTAACCATCTCTGAAAACTGAAACGACTTTAATCAATCATAAAAGCTGATTGGAAACTCCAGGATTACATACTAAAATGGATACAAGTTCAGAACAGGATTCTAACGTCCAAAACGTTGAAGCAATCATGTGCCTCGAGTGCGGGAAAATTTTTGATGATGTGATTTTCCTGGAAATCCACAAGACCAACCACAATCGTTGCAATGAGTGCAAACAAACGTTTGCGACTCTCACAGTATTTATACAGCATGTAGAAGAAAGGCATACGACGCCACCCCAAAGTTAATCATGGGTCGTCTTGCTATGACATATTTCAAGATTTTTATGTTCATTTCATGTTGCTTGAAAACTTTACCATCAAGAATAAGATTTTTATAAAAAATACAATAAACATGATGATCTTAAGGAAAATTTTTTTACATAAATTTGTTGTATTCAATTCAGATGTACTTATTGTATAATTTTCTGGAAGTTATTATGTAAATGACTGAATTTCAAATTTGTATCACTAGATTTTATAATTCATTTATGTAAAGTTCTTTGTGTTCTGTAAGACACTAATTTTGTTTACCAAGTATACACTTTTTAATGAAATTTTACTCCTGTTGCATATTATTAATCATCAAACGCTAAATTATCTTCTACCAAATGCGTGCAAGGATAAAGTGACAACTATGAATTTCGTTACTGGCGTACATCTTCTCCAAGGGGCTTGCAAAGCGTTCAAAGTTTTAAAATTACGTTTTAGATGGGAAAATGAAAAACTGTTTTTTTCTTGAATTAAAAAATTCAGAAATACTTGATCCTTTGTCATTCCAGACTACTTAAGAACCAAATTAGTACTTTCTCATGTGTAATAACGTCATAGTAACATAAACCCTAAGATCTTTCTCATACTCATGAGTACAATAAAATAGAAATCGAGCTTTGATTCTCAAGGGGCTTTTGATGTCAGTTTATGTTATGTCCACGACTTACGTGGATATTCACACTGATTTCTGGTCTGAGACACTTCTTATTAGCCAGTTATCGCGATGTATTTCTACAAGCTGAGTAAAATAAAAAATTTCAGCAGAAAGTCGATAAAACTATTCTTCTTTATGGATAATGTATGAAATCTACGAATACATCTGGACGGTAAACATTTTTCCTTCCTTCCACTCAATTAAAATTCATATTTTTCTTGCATTTAAAATCCCTACCGACCGCAATACCCGCGCTTCAGATTTACAACACGCGTATACTCTCTTATTACACACTTAACCAGTTTCACGTAACGCGTTTCTGCAGCTATTCAGGGGGGAAAAAAAATCCTCACGCACCGCAAAATTCCTGCGTATGTGTCAGACCACCACGTCGCTGGACAGACTGAAAACACACCCATACTCCTCCGATCGCTTACATAACATTTCGGTTCACACACTGCTCTCGTGGAAAAAGGAGAGCAGTTCTCCTACTTACATATTTAATTAATAAGGTATCCCCATCAATCTAATAACATGCAATGCAGCGGGCGATAAGACACATACACACATCCGACGTTCGCGACATTTCCCTACGCTCGGCTCAATGAAATCCACATTCCGTGTCTTATTTTTCTTTTGCATTATTATTACCTGTTTTTTTTTTCTCAACTCTCCGACTCAAAGACAAACCCGTTACACCTGCACCGGGAAATCTATGCATTATAATCGCTCTCGCTGTAAGTTGCCGTTGCACAAAGTTCCGATCGATCGCTCGGGAGTATGTATCATACGTACACGTATACATTCATGTCGCAAGTTTCGATGTTAAAAAAAAAAAAAAAAAAAAAAAAAAAACGTTAGATACTCCCGGATTTCTCTCACAGCTCTGATTATATATTTTTAATTGTGACACATGTAGTGTGAGTAACGCGTACGTACTATTATCGGTTCGCGTGGGTGCCAGGACCTCTTCAACGGGATTATGCAAATGCGAGCGTCCGATGCGAAGGAGTAAGAATGAAGCGAAGAGCAGAGGATCATCAGCTTTTTACTTTTTTTTTTTTTTCTACCGAGAGGCCGAGGGATGTGTCGCGAGAGACGTGTATAACGGGCCCACGGCCTCCGATTGGATCCAACGGGCGGCCTCCGTCGATTAATGCACCCGTTTAAGTGACTTTTTGTGTACCACTGCCTTCCGAGAGATCGAGAGACGCCCGACCGTACGCGGTTTAGCTGGAGGACGGGCTGTGGTATAGGAGGCTTGAACGAGGAAGGTTTCTTGGATGTATTTTTTTTTTCATTTCTTTTTATTTAATCGAGGCACGGCTGATCCGCAGTTTTTATTTGGGTGCCGGGTGATGACCATTTTGGGAACGGCTCGAGGAGCTTTTGGGGAACGCTGTTGCTCTTTTTACATTTGTTGTCCTTTATTGGTTTAATGGTTAAAAAATAATATCGGAAAATGTTGGTTACTGGTTCACGTCGATTGATCGAGCATAACGACTTAATCCTCTGTTTGTTGTGACAGTGACACGTGGCAACCTTAGAAGTGATCGGAATTAAAAATTTGTGATTTGTCGCCAAGTGCTCGTTGCATGCAATACTTTCCAATGATGAAAAGTTTAGCAATAGAAAAAAAATTCTGAGGTTTAACCACATTTCCGTAGCTAATAGTTTTGCCCAATGTTGCAGTTCTGAGGTATAGTGCAACGACCAGGTCCTGAATCGAAACATGTTTGAATCGCGAGACACTTAACTGTAACGTTAACGAGCAGCTAACTCGTCGCGAAAAAAAATCTTTGAATATCGTTGTATTAGTTCAAGGTATAGAAAAACCATGGCCAATGTAAAACTTTATTTAAAAAACCACCACCCGGACACAAACGTATACGATACAGCGAAACTACAGGCCACGATTGCCCTAAGCGAATGTAATAAGCTACACGCGTCACAGCCGATACACAGAGTTCAGCACATGTGTACGTACGTTTTGCGTCCCCACGAATGGCGTATACACTCGATAAAGAAGAAGAAGAAGCTGAAAAGCACGGGGCAAAGCGAAGGGGTCAAGGCTCGCTCTGCAGCTCCGATATCTTAACTTCCTTACACGGACGCCGTATAGGTCCCTTCGGTGCCATGGACCTCTTCCGCGACGGCTTTACTGCGAATTAGGACGATGTCGCGGAAACTTTTTTGCGATTCCATATCGCCTGCTCGGAGTATGCTATACACGAGGGTAATTACACGAGAGTATTTTCCAAGACCCCCCGCTCCTCCCCCTCCTTCGCTTCCCTTTAATGACATGCTCTCTCTCTCTCTTGAACTCTTTTTCTTTCCCCTTTGCTCCTTTTTTTCCTACAGATTCTCATGTAAGATCGTTTTCGTGGCATTCTCCGTTGGATTGAAGAATAAAACGAATTTTCGAACGTATATCAAGCTATTTCCATGTGTTTCGCGAAACGTTAATATAACAGAGGCGTTGGATAAAAACTTATACTGTCCCCGATGAGATATCAAATAAATGTTTTTATGCTGGCCTTGAAAATTTCTGATTCGAAATTTTGTCATTTTTCGGCCAATGACTCGTTGGATTGATAATTTATTGGAATGTTCAAAGCTTCGTTAAATGGCACATACAAAGTCTCAAACCCAATGTCTCTGGTGTATTGAATTTTATAGATAGCGAGGCTTAAATCGCACACTAATGAAACCCACATTTGATTGCTAAGGTAGATTTATGCCCAACTAATCGAGCCTCACACAGACTCTTAAAATAATATGGTACATGATTTATCGACTGATGTAATAAATGTATTAATTAACCGTAAAAAATGTATATTCATGGTTACAGGCGAATTCTGCGAAGAAGTCGATTATTGCGCATCGTCGCCCTGTCGCAACGACGCGCAATGCCGATCGCTGGACAACACGTACCAATGCACTTGCACGGCCGGATACACCGGGCCCAACTGTTCCGAGGACGTAAACGAGTGCGATCTCCAGCCGTGCAGATTCGGCACCTGCCACAACACCTACGGATCTTACAAGTGAGTCCTCCCCCCTTATTTAAATCAATCATCATGCAAAGTACAAGTAACAAGCAACAGCGTCATACCCAAATGGTTAATTATTCCGCTGTAACCGAGCGATTTGCTCGAAAAAGACTGTCCGACCGGTATGAACTCGCGTGCCACCTAATCATCCCGCGACACTGCCCTCGGTACATACGACGACGTTTCAAAGATAAGCTCCATCGGCTTTTTGACTCTGAAACGAAGAGATTTGCAAACCCGGAAGCGATGAATGGAGACAGGCGTTTTACCTCCCCGATCCCACAATCGGCTCGTCAAACCCCCGCTCGGCTAATCAGTCTACCGACGACGTCATTTCGTGCATACACACAAATGTATAGGTATAGAGACGAAGAAGGAGCCCCAGCCATATATACCGATGAGGATGTATTTCCATACATACGTCGTTTCTCCCGTCCGCGTACACGACGGAGCTGTCCTTTGGAGGCAAATCGACGACGACCCTCGTCTAATTGCGACGAATAAACGATCACGTTTGCTCGCTCCTGCTGCTCCTTCGTCCTCTCCGTGGGCGATTTGCGTTTAGCCTCGGGTATACATATACGTATATATACACGGGGACAGAGGAGCTGCAGGTATACACACATACAGCAGCCAATATTGTATACCGTTGTCGTCTTTATATAATATACCGGGGCGCGCGCGTACACGTGTTTATACGTATGTGTGCATGTATGTATTAGCTCGCCCTCTCCGCGCAATTATACGGAATGCGGAACAAAAGGGCTCCTGCCGTCGCACAAGGTGTATGGAATACCTGCCGTGTATACACGTATATAGGCGCACACGTGTACGTATAACCCGTGCATGCATGTAATATGTGTACGCACGCAAAAGGTGCTCGATCCCACGGTTTGTGTACCCATATCATGTATATATACACGATTGGGCCTTGCGCGAGTTGCTTTTCTATTGCACCTCTGTCTCGTTTGATTTAGAACTATGTATTAGTTTAATCGTCTCTCCCTCTCTGAACGAGCAATGAAATTGGGTATGTATGAATCGAGCGTTGACGTTTCCAAATTTCATAACTCGAAAAGTATTGTGCTGGCGATCGACAGCGGGTAATACGTACGAATAAGAAAAAGAAAGGAGCAAACGGCAACACAGTTCCGAAGAGCACGAGGAACGACGAGACGTCGAGAAAAGGGCAACCACGACGACACGACGACGATGGCGAGGAAGAAGAAGAAGAAAAAGAAGCACAGGGGGGAGAGGGGACGAAAATAAGGAGCGAGAGATTCGTCCGGCGCGTAAAAACTGGTTTCGGCTCGGTCTCCCAGTGCAATACAACATCAGCTCCTCTTCGTCCTCCCGAGCGAGGGCTCACAAACACACACACACACCCTCCTGCGTTTCTCAAGATCGAGTCGAGATTAATCGGGGGCTCGCTCGCGCCCGAGCCCAGATAATGTCGCCCCGCTGCTATCCCTCCGCTCTGGCCCCTTGCGTTTTATTGAATTATATATTGGGTCCTCGTTGCGCTGCCACGTTTCTCCCCACCCTCTCGTATTTTTTTTTTTTTTACCTCCAACTCTTTTTTCGATGCGCATGTGTGTATAATGTGTATGCGTCTTTCTTTTATTCTTTCGCGCGGCGAGTCGATCGGCCATTCGTCAAACTATCGATTTCTCAAGGTCCCCCGTGTATCTCCCTCCTCTTGCTTTCTTGAAGGATGCTGTAAGGGCCGCGAAGGGTTCCAAGGAGGCAAAACCACACCTATGCTCGAAGTGGAGTGTTTTTGCGTCGTTGCGCTGAGAAATGCGAAATCGGTATTGTGATCGGTGGCTCGGCCTTTGCTTCTCCAATTAGACGAATGGCTGATTTTCTCCTGCCGATAAATCAAAATCGGTACGCGAGTACGCGGACACTCAGCCAAGAGAAGAGGAATACGATCAGATAGTTGCAGGCCTCGTTTCCAATTCTCGGGTAGTTTGTTGCCCGCATGGGTTATTATATACGCGATATTCGAAGCGGTACGGGTTGTTATATACACGTGTACGGGCATCCGCAACCAAGGGGTTACGACCTATGGATGTGTAGCATACACGTGTGTGCGAGAGTCTCTTCGAGTTCGCAATAAAGACCTCGAACGTCGCTCGTGATCTTCCCCCCCCTTTTCTACCGTGAATGCCGATCGTCGTTAAATCGACGCGATGCGCCACTTCGTCTTCGTCTTGGAGATACGCCTCGCGCCTCCGCGCGTGGCAGATCTGCTTCATTAGGTGTTTGTCGATCGCCGAGAGGAGGTAAGCAAAAGAGGGATGTACGCCGTGGACTTATTAGGCTGAGATCGATCTCGGGTGTCTCTGTGTATGTGTTTTTTATTGCACATAGCTAAATGGTATGGTGTAGTGGTTTGAAGTACAGGATGTGGTGCACGTTTGTATATTGTGTATGTACGGGGGATGGAAGGGAATCGGTTTTGAGTATTGAGCTATGACTTGATTTGCCTTGATTATAATATACAGTTTTTCCCAACGGTGCATCACATGAGACGTAACTGGAAAAGATGCAAACAGTTTTTTTTTTATTTTCCGAAAAATGTTTATGAGAAAGGACAGGTTCTTCCTTATAAGGCACCAATGACGTCAGTCTCCTGATTTTCTTGGCGCAACTCATATTAGAGTTTGAATACTTTTGTGTTTCTTTAAGTTTTCTTTTCACTGCAGAATACATTTTCTAAAAAAGATATTGCGATTAATCGCTGCACACGTAGATACTAAAAAGCCTAGCTACAGTTAACCCAAAGTTAGCTCCAAAGTTTGAGCTTGTTTGTGTTTATTCGTGTCAATGTTTGACTGAGCAATGAGTGGTGGACACGAGAGTTAGTACACATCAGCCACGCAACAAGGAAGGAGACATGACGCACGTTACTTTCCAATCAGAAGGCTAAAGGGGCTATACCTCGATAGTTAATGAGGGCCTCGCTAGGCTGCCTGTACGTAGCGTCTCAAGAGGTGCAACAGTAGAAACTTCCAAGAAATCATCCACTGCAAGTCTCACAAAGGCTCGTGGATTTATTATTCATTATACGTTGGCTTCCTTGGCCCGTTGCGTGAAAAATACAACACGTACATTTTTAAAATAATTGAAAATAAAAAAACCCAGAGAACAAGATTGAAAGGGTGTGAGGAAAACCAGCGAAAATAAGTAAGGTCTCGAGAAAAGAGGCTCGTGCACGGTAAATCCTTGCCCAGGAAAAAAAAAGGAAAGGGCCCCACGTAGCCGAGCAGCAGCTGCATGTTCGGTCACTCGTGTACACAACATGAGAGAGACAGAGGGAGGGAAAGCAAAAGAATGCACCGTCTATACACACCTGTTCGCAAATTTCTGGCTTCCCCCAAAACAACCGATGACGTCGTCCCTCCCTCTCTCTCTTTTGAACGGCTTTTGGTGCTCTCTAGGGTATAATGGCCTCTCTCTCCCTTTTATCTTCTCTTTCAAAATTCGAGGCACCTTTCATCCACCTTCGGCTCAGCTTGTAGACCATTTTCCTCAAGGGGCGAGTGTCCATGTACATTTCTGTTTTCCCATTTTACTGCAAAGTATAGGCTCGCAATTCAGATAATACCTCTATACCACCGGCTTCGACTACATTTCCATGGATGTACAAATTGCCAGATCTCTCTCGTTTTCGTCTTGACTAGTCATTCCCGCATATACTTTCCGAAAATCTCAGCGCAGACTCGAGGTGAACTGTACAAACCCCCTTTTTTTTCTCCCTTCGGATTTTATTTTATTTTATTTTTCAATCACCGTTCAAACTGTATTGTTAATTACCTCACCGCAGTGTCTGTTGGCGGGCTCATTCATCAGTTACGCGCAACGCGGGAGAAAACACATCTCGTGCATCCATCACACCGGAGTGTACGCACTCGCTGCGTATTTCCTTACGTGACTTTTCTCCCTCGCTGCTGCTCCTTCTCGGGGATGATTAACGATCGTTTATTTTCCGGGACACGTGTAATATGTAACGGACAGCCCAGTCAGCTGGACGTCGAACTTTTCTTTTTGCGTGCGCTTATGTTGCGTTGTTTGTGATTATAATTGAGATTTGTAGAGATCTCTCTGGAAAAGGAAAAATAATCACTCCCAGCTCGAGTTGGAACGAGCAGAGTCGAGTACACGAAAGATAAAGCTAAAAAATGCAAGATCTGGGGTAATTTTCACAGAAGCACGATTTATTTTGTGTACGTCACGACACAACAGGTTTCATGAACATCGGTATACACGTAACAAGCGCGCGTGTCGGGCTCGCGTAGAGGATTTTCATGTACACTGTATACACGCACGTGATAAACATACCTACAGTCAAATCACAGGAAGAGAGAAAGAGAGAGAGAGAGCAGGTTTCGTTTGCTCGTCAGGCAGGCGAGTGAACGAGCAAACGAGAGAAGAAACGACACGTGGGATGTCATTCCCACACACAGGCTCGCAAAGGCTCGGGTCCTTTGCCCTGGCTTATGGCTGATGTGATGCCCCTCATCCTCGCGAGGTGCGTGCACATTCTTCGGCTAACGTTGCTCCGGTAAAAAGGGCCCGTGTGGAACTCGCTTCGGAGATCTCTCCCCCCCCCTCTTTTTTTCTTCGTCTTTTCGCAATTTTCGGGGGTCACTCGAGTTTACGTTTTTTTCATCACTTCAGCCTCCTCGATCCTCTGCCGATATCAAGTCTGGTGAAAATCAGCCAGTGCCACGGCACACTAGTATCTTATCGTATGCCAAGTGTCCCAAGCATACATTGGTAGCAAACGACAAAATGGACTGCGTGATGAGAGAGGCAAAGAATACGTATACTACGACAGAGTGAGGATAAGCCCATCATCCTTGTATGTGTGTATACACAAATGCGTGTAAAAGGGCAAGCTGCATCAGACATCAAGTAAGAAAAGAGAAGAGGAGAATAGCGAGGAAATCGCGAGTGTGTCTCTTTTCTGGATTGTTGTATGCGGC